TAGAGTCCCCTTGATGTCTCTTAGTTCTGATGTGCTTCTGTGCACTTCCACTTCAATACGATCGACCCGTTCATCCACCGCAGTTGATCTCATGTTGGTCATCGTGGAGCTAGGCTCTGATACCAATTGATAGATTCACTTCAAAAAAATCTGAAACTCTGAGCTGGTTCGAGGGAGCTCACCCTCCTGAAACAGAGTAGGAGTAGGGAGAAGGAAAGAAGAAGGGAAGATGAAGAAGAAGGAAGGAGAATAGTAGGGTTTTACTTCTCATGCCGATTAAATCGGATTACAATTATTTATACTCTCCTCTCTCTCACTCCTACACATCGTCACGACTGCAACGGGTAACTAACTGAAGGGACGTGGCCTTCTCATGTAGACGGACCTCAGCAGAGGAGTCACATGGGTGATCAGGTGCTTCTCTCGTGCATGGCCTGGTCCCTAAGTGTCTTGGGTCTGGATCTCCTGGGATGGGCCTGAATGGATAGCTGAGGGCCTATCAGGTAAACTCTCTTAACTCTCCCCAAGTAAAAAAAAAAAAAAAGAAAAAAAGAATTACTACATAGCCCAAAGTACATGATTTCTTCCCACCCCTTGTTTGGCCAATGCATCAGCAAAGCAATTAGCATCCCTTTTTACCCAAATAAGAATAACTTCCATTCCTTGTGTCAGCCACTTAAACTTTCTTTTCTCATTAATGTAGATGTAGTCCCACCACACCAACCCCTGTTCCTTCTAAAGCCATCTTATAACCAGCTTTGAATCCCCTTCAATTATCAGCATAGAGATGCTCAATTCCTTGACTCTTTGAAATTCCTTCCATACAACTAAAATTTCATCCATCAAGGAATCTCCCACACCTATAGGTCCTCAATATAAAGCAATTATTCTGCTTTCCTCATTTTTGAAAACTCCTATTCTTGAAGGGCCTGATTTCCTTTACTACTCCCATCAAAATCTAGCTTAATGAAATCACTGAAAGGGGGAGACCAAGATAGCTTTATGACAGCCTTCAAATAACGGAATAAGCACCAATTAGGTCTTTTCCTTTGGAGTAGGTCACATGTGTTAATTCTATAGAAACACTTCCCAACAGAAGCCATTAAAAGGGGGAAACCTTGGATGGTAGACTCACCAGTCCAAGGTCTCCTTTACAAAGGAGAAACCCTGGTTTCCTATTGAGCTTCCATCAAAGTTAAACTTTATTCTATTAGGCTGAGGAGGCTTCCAGTCTAAAATTAATTTGTCTTTCACAGTAGATGAATTTGCTACTTCATGCCAAGCTTTGATAATATCACCTACTGTCACCATTTGGAATGCTTCCAAACTTTTTACCTAGTTTGCTGTTTTGATACTTATGCTTTCAACAATATCCTCTAGGCTCCTAGAGTTGTCTTTAAAATAATCTTTCATTTCTTTCTTCCCAGATTGTCCAAATAGTTGTTGTCTTGCCTATCTCCCAAAGTAATCTTCCTCTCTTCTTTTGCTTGCCTAAAGAAATTTGAGCTGAACAACATAGTAAGTCTTCTTGAGGAGGGGGGGGCCACCTACAGCCAAAGAGAGAAGAGATGCACGTCCAAACACAATTTGCAAAGGAACAAGAAATTAGTGAGGGGTTGTTTCTGTTAGACAGTGTATGCCCTTAGCTCCAATAAGCTTGAAGTACATTATCACATTTATTGTAAATGAATAAAGTACATATTTGATTCATGTTATATTGGTGTGTTTCTATGTAATACCCTTAAACTGGACACTTATGAGACTCGTGTTAGTTTAGAATCTTCACAGTTGTTGGATAGATCTAGGAAGATTTATCCTGCCAAGGCTGACACTGATGTGCCGCCAAGTGGGTTGGGGTGGCTTGTCTCAACTGACAGGGTGAAACCTGAGGCACATGCAGTGTGGGTTTTCTTGAAACCCTGAACCGGACAAAATTCTAGTATTGCCCTGGACCTTAGAGATAGACGGGCAAAACTGGAATGTTACACCTAACCCCTAGACTCGATTATGGTATTACACTAGGTGTTGGATTGGGCTGTCTTTGATATGCCAATTAGTGAGATCCTTAGAGGGGATCAAAACCTGGGTATGTTGGGGCAGTTCGAGAATTCACCTGAGTGGGTGATCATAGTGACAGGATCAACCCCTTTGTTGGACAAAGTGAATGATCGGGGAATGCACTCTCTCTGATGGAAACCTAATCTGCTGGCAGTTGATTTCAAATTGTTGAGATTTGTTTTGCAAAATATATTTATATAGAGATATACAAATATATTATGGCTTCACAAAATGTTTGCAAAAAAAGGTTTTAATTCCTAGGATCCATGTGAGTAGAGAGTGCAACATTGTACCTTGTGGTTGAGGGAGAGGTCCTCTCTTGTCGGGCAGTGTATGATCATTAAGGGCTGAGAGGTTAAGTGTAAGACCATTTAGGGATAATAAACCTGATGGGCTAATCTCACATCTACCCACAGTCCTTGGGCCTTCATAAGATGGCTGGACCCAAGGACCATTTATTATAAATGTTGGGCCCATTAAGAGCCCATATTGATGGACTCAGGGGTTCACTGTATTCAGTAGTGAATTCGGCCAGGCCTTGTAAAAGAGGCTAGGCTGAACCCATGTGGCTTATGTGGAGATCAATGATAGGGTCCCATGCCATACAAAGAGAGCCAAGCTAGCCAGCATTTAAAGGGAAAGTGAGCTATGTGACTAAATGGGCCTAAAGCCCATTTTGAACAGGGCTTAAGTGAGTTAATTAAAAAGGGGCGAATTTTGGTTCATAATCTGATTAGGATTAGCTAAAGGATAAGATAAGTCTTATCCATTTAAGAGTCCAGATCCAAATATCATATTTGGATCAAGAAACTCTTTTCTAATTAGATTAGGAAGCTGATTCAAAGAAGGCTATAAATAGGGGGCGAATTCACCAGTTTCAGACACTTAGAAATCTGCAGCATTCTCCTCCAGTTCTTGTCGCCCCTACCCAGTTCGATCTCCTCTTTTGGATCTGATCAATAATAGTTCTTGATATTGTTTCTTGCTAGAAGAAACAATCTAAAGTCGTGCTCACCAACCCCTTGCCTGATTCTTGCTGAAGAATTAGGGTTCTTGCTGAAGAACCACCCTGCTGATCCTACCTCACCATAAGCTGTGTCATCTTCAATGGAGGCGGGTTTTGGTCATCTCTTTGGGCGTGAACACCTACATTGGGAGTTACTGTTATTCCGTATCAGGTATTCCTCTCCCTAATCTTGGTTTCAGATTTAATCCGGTTTGTTTCAAGAACGAACCTTGAAAAATGCAATTTTTCTAAATCAAGGAATAGGATTCCTGGATGGGAGAAAGAAATTTTTGAAATTTCACCCAGCCACCTTGCATGGTTCGGCCATCCATATGATGGATCTCCCATTCCTTTAGTTTCACCATTTGCCTAGAAAAAGATGCATATATGAGGGGAAAGGCATTTTATTTGGCCTTATTCTTTGAAGCACGTCAGAGGTATTTATCTTAAAAAGGAAAACTTCCCAACACAAGTCTTGAACTTTTGGAGGAATAGGCTTACTCCATATCTCTTTCACTGAGAAAGTTCCTCCCCACAAGTCTGAGAGAACTAGGGAGTCAAAGAAAGAAGCACAAGAGAACAAACTAGACGGAGAAGGTTTCCAAATTCTATTGTTATCCACCCTTGAATCCAAGAATGCTGACCCTAAATTATTTAGCATTTCAATTACAAGATCACATTCTCTATCTCTCAAGCCCCTTCTAAAACCAAAACCCTAGTTTAACCCTGAAGAGGAAAGAGTCTAGAAGCAAGTAATGGGATTCTTTTGAAGACTAGAAAGCGAATAAAGGAAAGGGAATTGGAAAGGTCATTTTAGAGGTTGGAGAGTTGGAAGTGATGAAGTTGTGACAGTGAGGATCCCCAACAATCAAGAATTTTAAGATTACTAATGAGGTTTTTAGAAAGGATGTGAAAGCTAGGAATAAATTTTGAAAAAAATTATGTAGCTGGGGTTAACATTGAGGACAGAGAGGTAGACACTGTCGCAAGGATCCTTGGGTGTGGGATAAGTTCATGGCCTATGTGGTACTTGGGGCTTCCCTTGGGGAGCAAAATAAAATAAAAAAGATGACTTGCAACCCAGCTCGTTCTTGGCTCATCTGACAAAATCTTGTTACTGGTATGTTCATGCAAACCTTGTATAGTCACAAAATAAAGATAGGAGAGCACATAAAAATAAAGAAGCAGGAAACACCCCTTCTGCTAAGCGAAGAGAGAGAAAAAGGTGTGAGATACACTTTGGAATACAAAAGCCAGCATTTCATATTCTTCTTCAGAAGGCAAAACATCTCCAAAAAATGAAGCTGATATGGCATTTTTCTCAGAGAAAAGAAAAAAGGAAAAAAATTTGAAAAAACCACAAAAAAAGACAAGAGCAAGCGTGGACTGCTATTGGGTTGGCAGGAGGCATTTTCGGAATCTAAATGTAACAAAGAGATGTTAATATATCTGAGTTTTTGAAGAAAAAATTAAAAATTGCAAAAAAAAAACAGAGAACAGGACAGTGCCAGCTTGGATCTTTCCATTTTAATATATAGTAATTATAACTAATATATTTTATATTTTTCATTTTTTAATAATTTTGATGCTGTTTATGAGGCATGAGGCAGTGAGGTATATGCCTCGCTCTAGGAGGCTAGGTGTTTTGGCTCTGCCTCACCTCAAAGCCTTTAAAACCAGGTTATGTTATACAAATGAAACTTGTGCACAGACACTTGCACACACTCTTGACAGAATGTTTCTTATCTTCCATATGGCAAACTGATTGGTGCAATGACATAAAAAGGTTGCTATACTACCATCCCGTACATTAAATTGTATAGAATTGCTTTGATTTTAATTTTATTCTTTTTTCAGGGAATGGGCTTATGTAGCTGGTATTTTTTATATTTTACTGGAAATTTAAAAATTAATTGACTTTTCTTTTTGCTACTAGGTTATTAATGATGGTTGGCTGAATGGAGCTGCTGTCCTTGGAGTTCCTGTTAAAGCTACAATCAAAGAGGTGTATATGGCATTCTAAAATACTACTTCCACATAGGCTTCTAATAGAATCTTTTCAGTTGTGATCTTTTGCTCTTTATTTTCTTTTGTTTAGGACACATGAAGGATGCACCAAACATGGATTAGCCAATTAGGGCATTTTATAGTCATCTAGTCAAGTATTTCTTCTATTATATATTATTTAATACACTCTCATCTTAATTAATAACTTATAGAAAGTAAGTTTATAAACTCATATTTTTTCATGTTATTTTATGAGCTAATGTTTTGGCTGACAGTTTGGCCAAACAAGGAATAAATAGGGAACAATTTTTTTCGGTGGCATTGTAATAGGAGTTACTTTTTTGGGATCATTTGTCATGGGATGCTTGGCATATTGTATTTACTTTTTAATTATTGAATACAAGTCACTGTTTCCAATCAAAATTAATTAAATAAATAATTAGTCTTTGAATACTATAGACATGTGTTAACTTGATTTTGTTGTCTCTAGCAGACTGGCACATGAATGTATATTTTACATATATAGGAACTGATTATGATGTATACAAAGAAAATATTCTTGTATTCAGATTCATCTCTACACTACTTTAGTAAATGACTTCAGCTAAGCCTTACTTCAATAATTTGTAGTTCCACCTACTCTTTTCTGGACCACATCTTTTGTCATGTAATTAGGTTGTTCAAATTCATGCTTCTTGCCTGTTGTACCCCTTGGATAACAACACATAATTCAGCCATTGTGGAGTCCCCAAGTCCAGCTGGGCCCAAAAAGCATAGCTACCATGTTGCTGTTCTTGTTCGCAAGAGCTCCCACTCCTGGTGGGCCCCAGTTTCCAGTAGTACTTCCATTGAAGTTCAATTTGATGAATCCTTCTCGGAGCCTAAACTCTTTGTATCTTTGGTTTTTTTATAAGTTGCAGCCACTCCCCCCCCCCCCCCAATTTTTTCAAATTTCAGCAGATGTGAAGGCTGAAAAATTCATAAAGATTTTACCCAATGGATCACTTTTATCAATTCCCTTTGATCTCTCTCTTCCTCCTTAAATATTCTTCTGTTACTCTCTTCCCGTATTGTCCAAATGATAGCTGCCCTGGTTCACCTCCACGCAACCCTGCCTCTTTTCTTTGGCAACCTTAATGTGCTTGGGTTAAGAAGGTTAGCCACTTCCATAGGGAAAGACCATCTGCACTCAAAAAGAAAGGAAAAGCATTCCCAAATACAAACAATAAATAGATAGAAGATTATTAAATGATAACAACTCTCACCCATGGTTCACAATTTTGATATAAATGAACATTTTGCCCCGTGGAGATGGAGAAATTTCGAAGATAGTTCCCTAAGATATTTGGAAAGATAAAAAATAGAAAAGGTTTCTACAAGCATGGAATTAGTTAGTAAACCTTCAAGGAATCATCAAAAGAAGGATAATTGCACATTTAAGGTTCAAAAAATTATAGCAAAGAGCTGTATAACTCAAATAGGAGAAAACTAAGAGACTTTAGTAGGTATCTCTGTCTCCCTTCTTAGCTATTTAGCCATCTTCTCTTCAACAAATATATCACATACCATTTTGACTTGTCTTTTTTTGCTACTACTTGTTTTGATTAAATTAAGAATACTCTTTTGTAGTTATAAGCATTTTTCTTTTTCTTGAACTATAGTGACTTAATAAGTGAATATTGCCAATATTGTGAACCATGATCTCACCATTGGCTTTAAAAAGGATGCACTAATTTGGAGAATTCCATTAATTTAAGAGAATTTCTGATATGGTATTTTTCCATTGAATTAATCACTATCATCTAAGCTTTGTCCATATGAGGTCAGTTACATGAAACCTGCTATGCCATTCCATTCTATTCAGTATTCATTGCCAAATCCACTATTACATTATTAGGCAACCTAGCCTCTATAGCTTTTTCCCATTCAGGTAGTCATGTTACTACTAATCATGCGATTGTTTAAGGTAATTATAGAATTCCTTGGATCATTGACCGGAACCTCTAACTTTTTAGTTTCTATGAACTTCTCTCTGACCGAGATAAAATATCTTTACCTGATGGCTCTCTTGCTCCCATTCAGGTAAGGGAGATATTAGAGCCACCTACCCTTACCTTACCCTTTATCCTTCATGTTCCCAAACTTAATGATAATCTGCTTACTATTTGTTGACAGATGTTGTTGTACACGTGTTTAGTACCGCAAGGGTACTTTTGTAATTTCTTCATACTTTATGTTGTACGACCAGCCTAGTATAAATAATAACATACTGCACATGCCTGGAGGATTCTTTTGGGCTCTCAGTCCTCTTGCCTCTCCTCTCTTTCTCTTCTCTTCTCTTCTCTTGCTCAACATGGTATCAGAGCAAGTCGTCCAGGCCTGAAGGGTGATGTCAAGCAAATCTGGTTTGTTCATCCTCCAATGTCGAGCAGTCAGTCTCTTCATCTCCCAGCCATATCCATCTGCTGTTCGACCTGAAGCAAGAAGATGCCTGCCTGACTTTTCATCTTCCAGCGCAGAAAAGAGTTCTGGTTATAGAGAGTTTTCTATTTGATGTTCAAAGAAGTCTGCCAACATTAACTGTTCGGCTGTAGAGAGGCTATCATCTGATGTTCGTAGAGAAAGTTCTGGTTTATAGAGAGGCTATCATTTGATGTTCAAGAAGGTATTATCTACTAGTCATCTACTGTTCGGATGCCCTGGTATTCAACTGAAGTTTCTTTTGTATTTCTTTGCACCCATTGATGGACTGTTGATGCCCTAATATTCGACTGTGGTGTTCCTTTTTGTGTTACTGCTGTTCGGCTACCCTGTTGATGGACTGAAGTAGCCCTTTTTTTTTACTTTGATCTCATTGACTGTTCGGCTGCCCTGAAGTTGGCACTGTACCAGGTCTGCCAATTAGGTGTGTGGTGAACTTCACCTTGCATCTTCCATTCTGTTGAGGGGTCATATGATCTCTGTAAAACCGTAGGTCATACAGACCTGTTTATGTACTGCAACAGCAGTGTTTGTCTTTTGGATTGCTATAAAACCGTAGGTCATACAGACCTGTTTATGTGCTGCAACAGCAGTGTTTGTTCTTGGATCCCTGTGAAACCGTAGGTCATAAGGACTTGTTTGTGTGCTGCAATAGCAGTCTTTTTAGTGGACTGAAGGTCTGGAAGTGCCTGGTGCCTTCTGTAACAGCTCTGTGAGGCAGTGCTCCTTCTTTGGGTGCTGTTTTTTAAACCTGAAATCATGAGTGGTGAAGATTCAACCACATCTGGAGTTTCTTCAATGCTGAATGGAATGAGTGGGGGTGGTGACCTATCCTTTCCTATRGYTGTTGTCCCTCTTGATGGTTTAAATTACCTAGAGTGGTCAAGAGGGATCAAGTTATACATCACTGCAAAGGGGAAGATAGGCTATATTAATGGGAGAATTAAAGAACCACACT